CTGGCAGCCATTCGCTCCAGCAACCTCAAACAGCTCAAGAAGGCAAGTGGGGGCTCCGGAGGGGCCCGTTTTTGGGGGGTGGGCTCTGGGTGAGGGTGCGGGTGTTGTCACTCGGGCAGTGGAGAGGGGAGGGTTGTCCTCCAGAGTGGGGGGTCTGTGGTCCCAACCAGACACGGGCACAGAGGTCCCAACCCCTGTGCAGGGGGATCCATCCCTTTGCCAAGGACATGGGGGGCCAAAGGAATCCTTTAGCATCCCTTTTAGGGCAGGTGGGACCAGCAGATCCAGATGGGATCAGGAGATCCATCCCTTGGCAGAGCATCCAGCAGGAGGAGATCCAACCCTTTGCAGAGCACCAAAGGGGCAGATCCATCCCTTGGCAGAGCTCCTGGCATGGATCCACAAGGATCCAGGGGCTGGGGCACCAGGAAGGAGCCATCCATAGCTCCTGCTACCCAGCTGAGCCGCAGCCCTGGGGTGGGAGGTGGGAGAAGCTGCATCTCCAATGCTGACCCAACAGGGAGCCCTGGAACACCTCCCTCACTCCCGGGGTTTTGTGTCCCTGTCCTCAGGCTGGAGTGCAGGGACAACCAGCGTGGCCAAGGGAAGGAGCTCATGGAATCCCAGGATGGTTTGGATGGGAAGGGACCTTAAAGACCGTCCCGTTCCAATTCCAACACTTTCCACTATCCCAGGCTGCTCCAACCTGGCCTTGGACACTTCCAGGGGTGGGGCAGACATGGCTTCTCTGGGAATTCCATCCCAGCCCCTCCCAGAGAAGAATTCCTCCCCAATATCCCATCTATCCCTGCCCTCTGGCAGTGGGAAGCCATTCCCTGTGTCCTGTCCCTCCATCCCTTGTCCCAAGCCCCTCTCCAGCTCTTTTAGGAACAGTGACCTGTACCAGCTGCTCCAAGGGCAAACCACTCTGCTCCAAGTTTTCTGGAATCCTGGAATGGTTTGGGTTGGAAGGGACCTCAAAGCTCATCCAGTTCCCACCCTGACACCTTCCACTATCCCAGGTTGCTCCAAGTTTATCCAACCTGGCCTTGGACACTTCCAGGGGTGGTGCATCCTTTGGAAAATCCATCCCAGGGCCTCCCCAGCCTCCCAGGCAAGAATTTCCCCCCAGTCCCC